TAATGACTCGTTGTGCAACCATTCTATCTTAAGCCGTGATAAGGACTGATCCTCGAGGCTCGAAGTACAAGTTTATCAATTAAAAAAATAAAAATTTCAGTTTCGATTCTTTAAATTTTCGTACACCAACTATAATATACTTACTAGTTATTGCCGACATGAGTATTTTCAATTGGATTAATAAAATATTTAACATCGATGTAAAACCTAAGTAAATCTTATTCGAAACCTAAAAGACTGTAATACTATTTTTATTTATTTGCCTAATATTCTTATCTTTTTTTTTAGTTCAGATCTGCCTTCAGAATTTCAAATACCTTCTGAAGATGCTGAAAATATTAAACCCGGAATACATAATTCAAAAATCAACGATTTTAATGGTAATTATTTTGCTCATTAAGTATTATTTAATTACCTACATATTATTATGTTTAATGAAATAATTAAATCTATAAATAGATCCCTTCAATAGAAAAAACATGTTTGAAAATGATATAAATGTGTTTAATCTTGAAGATGTCTTTAGACTGATGGAATTAGAATTTGAAAACTTTCAAAATCATATTAAAAAACCAGATATTTCTACAAGTAAGTATTTTATGGAGTTTATTCAAAACTGATKATAATATTAGTTTATATTAATTCAGATTAATATTAGTTAATTAAATTTGTTGCAATTCAAATTCTAAATGACTCTGTAAGAATGTAACTWTACCTTCTATACCAAGAGTGGCAAATTATTTGAACGCATGTGCCAAAAGTTACCCTTTTTCTTTTTCAAGTATGCCATGAAAAATATTATATATTATATATAATATAGCCAATATATATGTGTGTGTGTAATACAAATATTTAAATTTTTTGCGTGCTCTCAAAATCTTTTTGTGTGCCATGGATTTGTCATCTCTATTCTACACAATGATAAACCTATGTATAGTAAAAGCCGCTTATTAAGAACACTTGGGACCAAGGTGAAATGTGTCGATTAATTGATTGTTTCTGATAACTAATAAGCGATTGGTTTATTCATGCGTTTAAATGGTATATGTATACGGCCAGTCTGTCCGGAATAATTTGTTTCAATAATGCGATTGTATCAATTATCCGTGTTCCTAACAAGCGGCTTTTAATGTATTAAGTTAATGTCCTCATCTCTGAAGTTAGAACATTAAGCCAGGCACGTATCTTGGACCTCATCTTGGGGGGGGAGGGTGATTAATGTTTTTAGGAATACCTAGTCCAAATCCTCTATAATACATTTAAGCCGGTGTGCTCTTACATTAAAAATAATTTGCTGTGCCTAAATAAAATAACATTTATTAAACAACTGTAATTTAAATAGTTAATAAATAATCGTTTAATAATTGATAATAATATATAAATAATATGTTATTGTCATAATGAATTTATTACATCTGTCATTTTCTACAATAAGAGATTGG